CCCTTCCCTTCCCTTCCCTTCCCTTCCCTTCCCTTCCCTTCCCTTCCCTTCCCTTCCCTTCTCTTCCTTCTCTTTTCTTCTCTTCTTTTCTTCTCTTCTTTTCTTCTCTGCATTTGCATTAACTAGCAAAACCACACAGATGATTAGAGAAGCTCTAACACATAAGAGACAGTTTGAAGCAGCAGTGAAACCCTAGGTCTGAATCTTTCCATTAGAGGAAGGCTGATCCTTGATGGGATCTGGCTCTTTGATTCTTTGACCTTACTGGAGGGCAGCAGAAGATTAACACAGCATCTGGTTTTATAAGGCCCAATACAACACCATAAGGATCCAAGGTAAAGTTCATGCCTATTCTGTAGGGCTGTTCAGTACAGGATACAGAATTAAAGGAATTAAAATTGAAAAGCTGCAACAAGCAAATAAATCATCCACCAGGATACAAATTGCAACTGTTGTTGAGTTGCGTTGCATATTTGAACAGTGGTTCAGTGACATACTGGGTGCAGAGCACTAATCTCAAGCTAGCTAGCTATCAGAGGGCAAATATGAACATATTTAGCACTGTCAGTGCCAGTAAAAAGGATGGATTTCAAATGTAGGCTTGTTCTACCCTCAGCTCAGTAAGCTCAGTAAGGATGAGTCTTCCTGATCACAGCCATGCTGGTCAGGGTGGAAGGTCAGTCACGCTGCAAACAAGCTGACATTTCAAAGCCAGACCAAGATTTCTGTTGTTAAAGAAATGTACAGCATGACTGTACAACAGTAAGGAAAAAAAAACATTTTCCTTTTTTTTTTTTTTTTTTTTTTTTTTTTTGACTGTTGAAGTTCTTGAACTGTACAGAGGCTGGTTAATGGCTGGAAAGAGATTTCATTACCATGAATTTAAAAGCTACCAGGAAACTTAGAGGAAAGAATGAAAGTTCTTTTTAATACCTGCAAATAAATCAAAATTAACTGCAGTACTCCATTCATGTTTATTGTTGGGTGTAAAATTCAGGACGCATCTCTTCTAAGGTATAAGCCAAGCAAGAAGAGTTAAGAGTTTCAACAAACCCTGTGGCATAGTAATTTTGAAGATGAGCTATGATGATAGCTAGGCTGGGGAAGTGAAAATGTTTTCTTCTAATTTTCAGAGCAGCCACAGAACTGTTCCACTGTTTCTGCAGACAATCATCAATATACTTGCATAACCAAGAGGTATTAAAAGGAAAAAGAAGATGCCTCATGTTCTACTTTGGTCCTTCTACACAGCCCTGAAAAGGACAGCAATACTTTCCTATCTTTCAGGCCATTAAGGAACTGTAGATAAGCTCAGGAACTGTAAATGATTTCAAAGTTTTGTTGTTGTTGTTGGGTTTTTTTGTTTTGTTTTGTTTTTTTTTTAATCAGTATCTGAGACCAATATATTCAAAATAAAATTCTACATCCAAAGCAAAATCAATAATATATTTTGCTGAGCAAAACAGGAGAGTACAAATTACTTTCCTTCATCCTTAAGTAAATAATTCATTGCTGAAAAAAAGGTCTAGAGAAGATACAAGAAACAAGGACTCAAGTAACAGGCAAGACAAGTGGAGAAAAAGTTCTAGCTGACACACACGTCTGCATTCGTGCAAGAAATGAAAGAACATATTGTCCTACTGCATGGGTTCTCAGGCTTCAGTCTGCTCACTCTAGCGGCAAGGATCTCTTCTGCTGGCTGGCCCTTAAATGGAGGATTCTTCTACTGACACAACAGTTTCACATTTACAGTGAGTTAGCAGAAGCTTTACTAATCAAAATCAAACTTAATTGTCAACTTTCAAACTCAACTGTCGACTTCGCAACATCTGTGGCTGCTTCATGTCCTTCTGTGACTGAAAATTATAGGATATACATTCAAGATAGAGAAAAAAGACATGATAGAATTCAGATCCTCTTTATTCCAGGCTGTTACCCACCTGAAACAAATGATACAAAATCTCAGAGAAAAATGATATACAGTGACTGGACCTGAAACGACCTGTAACCTGATGATCCAGTTCCCTTCAGAGCAGGCTAGGATTCCTGAATGCTTCTTGGTTCAGTATATAGACAGTAGAAGTGAAGGAACATCTTCTGAGTAAAATAGCTAATATGCTATTTGTCACTGATTCAGTAACAATTTAAGCCCAATTCTCTTAAATGAGGTGTACGTAGAAAAAAATAATGTGGCTTATTGAAAAAGAGAACTTGTATCTTCACAGTTCAAACACCATTTTCAACCACAATGCGACTTCTCTTTTTTTGGTGACCGCAAGTGGTTTTGCAGTAAATGGATAAGTGATTTCTACAGGCCCATCCAGAAAGGGTGCTGAGGGAAAGGAGCCTTTCCTTTTTTTTTGGTCTGTTCTGCCACCCTGTTGACACGCTCCCTGAGTGTGGTGACACTAATTATACATTCACAACTGTGATCTCCCCCAGCCATGTTTATGTGGTTGCTGCAGTGATGTTTGTGCCTGTTTCATACTGTTTCACTTGCCACTGAATATGAGATTGAAGATAGAAGTTAGTTAGGATTTATTTTTCATTTTTAAATTTCATTTCCCTTTAATCTTCAAGTTCTTCAAGTGTAATCAAACTGTCGCTTCACCTTTTGGAAAATAAGAGTACCACACTGTAGGACCTGAGGAAAAAAATAAAGATTTGAGAAACACAGTGCTGCAAAAACAAACAAACAAACAAGCAAACCATACATAAATCCTCGGAGAACTAACTTACTGCATTCAGACAATTCAGAAATTAAAAAAAAACAACTCTGAAATACACTGCAATTTGTGGCTCTAGGGAAAGAAACAGTAACTCTTCCTTACCTTTTTTACTTCATTTTCAATTGCAGAACATTCTTCCTGAAATTGGGTTAATATTTAAGCTCTGAAACTCAAAGTGTGTATTTTAGACTAGTTATGGAATTCAATTTTCAGCTTGCAAAAAATTACTGAGAATTGTAAAAGTCTACATTTAAAGATAAACTTCAGTGTTACAAAATTTCTGTAAAAGATAAGTCTGCCAAGGATCATAAAATCTGTTTACTAAATATAAATATCTATATTACAAACCTGTAAAATCATGACACTTGTTTATGTTGATACTAGTTTGTCACTTCCAACATACTTGTTATGAACTGGCATCACCGGGGAATAGAAAAAAACAAATTAATAGCTGCTTCCCAGAAGTTCAGAGGCATCAGAAGTGGGCAACACAGTTTGAAGCTTCCTACTACAGTAGGAAATTCAGAGGAAAGCTGAGGATAAACAAAGACAGCAATTTCTCTAAGAGAGGTCAGAAAGAGCATTGCAATTTCTTCAAAATATAGTCAGATAATTCTGCTTGGTGGCTTTGCTTAACAGAATTTTGCTTGAAATTGGATGTTTTATGCAGGAATAGCAGCTTTTTGCTGATATTAATGCAAATGTAAATACTAAAGGCACAAATCTATTTTTCTTTAGGTCCCTCATACTCATCATCACATACTGATATTTCCATTTCACCTCAGGACTCACTGCTCTGCTGTGATACAAAAACAGAAACAGCTTTTGCATAATTAATGAAACACAGGATCTGAAAATAGTCCTTTTTTCTTCCCTTTCCTGTCTACCCCATTAAAAAAGCAAGCAAAACCCAAACAATAGAGCCTGAAAGTTGGCCCGTGAGAATAACTACAAGCTAGCAGGTGTCAGAAGAACAGCATGAAGCAAAAAGCATCACAACTGAAATCAGGACTCTGAATGGAAGGATCTACACTGTGAGGAACAAGAAGTCAAAGTTACCAGAAATGAGGAAAAGAGCAATGAATGCAGCGGGGCACAAACATGAGGAGAGTATCAGCATTTACTGGTGAAAAGTGGATTACATTTTTAGCTATTTAGACTGTAACCACCAAGACAGGTACTTACAATTCCTTGAAACAGGCACTGGCTATAAAATAATTGTTATGCAAGGGGAAAAAAAGTGCCTTGTAAAGTGCTTCCATGTGTTTTATCTCTTTACATATATCTTCAACAAACGGAATGCTGCCAATATTCCTTAGCAAAAATATTTCCCCTTCTACTGAAATATGCACATACTTACACAGTAAAGAAATGAAGACTAAAGAGCCTATGACTGATAAAAGTACTTCAAAAGTATTGATTCCTACTGTTTACTTTCCTTTACAGTAAAGACCCATGCCACTTCTGTGAAACCTTCATGCTGAGGAGTCCTGTATATGCATACACACACACACACACACATAAATATATATATTTTTTTCCTGAAAGATTGGGATTTTCCACTACTCATTCTTCCTCATGTTTTCAGACATAGTTAGAAGCTCCTTTAAGTATGGGAAAAGGGTCTGTAAGCAGAAGGGGCTGCCATCTGTTTCTGCCAGACCTTTTGGAAGATACGAAGAGAAGTCAACAGAGCTTCATACAAAGATTTGTGTTCGCAGGTTTTCCCATGGTGCTTCTCTAGTTTCCTTCCTCCTGTGCTACTTCAGTTCTTTTAATACAAAGCATATCACCATGGCGGGTGTTGCCTTGTCTTCCAGATGGACAATTGATTTATCAGAGGAGGTAAACCCAAAGTATCACAGAATTGTAGCTGTAGGAAAGGACCTCTGGGGATCACTGAGTCCAACCCTCTGCGAAAGCAAGTTCCCTCACATTTATATGATACTTCCCATGTTCCACTTTTGCCTATTGCCCCTTGTCCAGTTTCTGCAAAACACTGAAAAAAAGTTTCATCCATTTGACTCCCACACTTCAGATATTTATAAACAGTGATGAGATCCCCTCTCCGTCTTCTCTGGGCTGAATAGTTCCCTGTCATTCAGCATTTCCTCATATGGGAGATGCTCCAGGCTCTTCCTCATTTTCTCTCTTCAGAAGTTCCCTGTCATTCTTGAACTGAGGAGCCCAGAACTGAACACAATACTCCAGATCTGGCCTTACCAGGGCAGAGAGAGAGGATCACCTTCTTTGACCTGCTGGCCACGCTCTTTTTAATGCACCCCAGAATCCTACTGGTATTCAACTTTGTCCTCAAGAAGCATGAGCACTTCTTCCACACAGCCAAAGCCAGCCTAGTCACACAGCAGCTGAGGTCAGTGTCTTTGAGCTTTGAATGCCTTCAGCCTCCATCTATGCTGGATACCGACATATGAAGCAGGAGTGAAGCAGGGCAAGAGCTCTGCTGCCAACAGGCACTGCCTGTACGCGGTGTTTCTTCCCAGCAGCTTCACCTGGGAGCTCGCAGTTCCCATTACTGCTTGCACGGCAGTGCGATGGCTGACACCCACTGCTCCCCCCCCCCCCCCGCGTGACTGTGTAAAGAGGGAATTGCTTCTGCACAGCAAGAACGCATCATTAACTCCCAACGTAACACAGCATGCGTTAACGCAATTGATAATTTGCATGGTGAACCACAAGAAGAGACATTCCCCTTCCAATGTCAAAAGGTCACTAAGGTTTTTAAGTTACAAGTTAGACCACGCTTGACTCAAAACTGGACAGCAGCTCAGCTCCCGAGGTGCGGCACACCATGGAGCCTGGCCGCTCGCTGTGCTGTCGAACTTCACTTAACACAAATGGCGTTTGCTGACGGCTCTTAGCATAGACCTCCTCACTCCCCAAGCGAACGCACCGCGGCCCCGTCCGTGCTTTCAGACCCGGGGCTGAGAGCTTTGCAGCAGCGAGGGGCCCGGCCAACTGTCCCCGCAGCCTCGGGAGCACCGCAACGCTCCGCACCCCTTCCTCATTCCTCGCTCCTTCCTCCTCCGCCCGCCGCACTCCCCGCCCCGCAGCAGCCGCCGGGCCGGCCGGGCAGGTACTGAGGGCAGGGCAGGGCAGGGCAGGGCGGAACGCTCCGCGCCAGCTGGCGGACGAGGAGGGGCGGGAGCGGAAGGCGGCGGCGGCCCGCACGGCGCATGGTCGTGGCGGCGGCGCGCTCCCTCTCTCTCTCTCTCTCACGGCCTCCCCTCTGGCTGCCGCGCGCTGTGGTCTCGCCCGCCCCCGCTGCCATGTTGGATTGTGCGGCCGCCGGAGCCGGGCCGAAGTTGGAAGTTTAGTGCCTCTCGGAGGGGCGGGCGCCATCGGCTGCGGGCGCCGGGGCTGCCTCCTGCCCGGCGCTGCCTCCTGCCCAGCGCCCCCCCTGCGGGCCGCTCTCCGGGCCCCCCTACCCCTCCGCCTCCCTCCTTCCCCGGCCCCGAGAGGGAGGCTCCGCGATGCGGCTGCTGTGAGCGAGGCCACAGCGGAGGAGGAGGAGGAGGAGTAGGGGGCCGCGGGCTCCAACGGTCGCAGGGCAGCGCCGTGCCGGCCCGGCCATGAGCGGCGCCCCGCAGCAGCCCCCGCAGCCGCGGCGGGTCACCAACGTCGGCTCGCTGCTGCTCACCCCGCAGGAGAACGAGAGCCTCTTCAGCTTCCTCGGCAAGAAATGCGTGGTGAGTGCCTGCCGAGCCGTGCCGAGCCGAGGGGCGGCGGCGCTGCCCGGCCCCGGTCCTTCCCAGCGGCCCAGCTCTCCTCCCCCCCGCCCCGTTCCCTCCCTGCCCCGTTCGCTGCTCTCGCCCGGAAGTTTGTCCGGCCTTCTCGCTGCCCGGAGGGGGCTCGGCGGCGGGGCCCGGCCGCTGCCCGGAGCGTAGGGGGGACGCGATGAATGGCGGCGGGACCGCCCGCGCGAACCCTCGGCTCGGCCTCGTCTCTCCGCGGGGATCCGAGCCGCTTGGGCCGGGGCTGCGGGCGCTGTGAAGAGCTGAGCTCCGCGGGGGAGCTGGCCGGGGGTCTGGAGGCTCGGCGCGGCCCCGGCTGAACCTGCGGCACGACAGAGCGGTGGAAGGCCCTTGTCCGCGCCGGGCCTGCCTTGCTCCGTACTTGGCCCGGAGGGCAGGTCCGTGTGCTTAGGTGCTGCACCTCCGGCTCTCGGCTCAAAAATAAGGCAACGCGGCAATTTAAGGAGAACAAGCTTCTGGTGAACGCGTTCCCCAAGTATGTCGCCGAGTTCTGCGTTTTTAGAATACCCTCTTGCAGTTCAGTGTAGAGTTGTACTCATCTGTGTTTTAAAAACGGCGACAGAAACTGCCTTTAAAAGTTAGCTCCATGTCTTAGGAGAAATGCAGCTTATCTTAAACTTTCTTTTCAGTATTTTTGAATAAATGCTCCTCTTTTTTTTTCCTTTTTTTTTCAAATGGCCACTTGAAGCCACTCAGAACTGTCACCTGAACGTCTTCCAGTGCTTTGTGTGCAGTGCTGGGTTACTAATGCTGGGTACCTGACGTCCTGCTGTCATGCAGTGACGGTTTGTCATGAGCCTGAGCTTGTGCCTTGAAGTAGGACAGCAAGGCAGTCTCAATGGTTCTGCATAACTCTGGACTTTGAGATGGTGTTGTTGATCAAACCAACTTCTGCAGGAAAGCAGGAGATGCAGTAACTGAGCAGGAAGTAAGCGATGTTGACATTGGGTGAGTTAAATAGGATGCTGTCATAGTAATTACACTGGAATGGGTCAAAAGATGTGTTCGTGAAACACGTCAAGAGGAGACTTTTTGTAAAGTAATAAATCTGTAAGAAATCTGTAATCAAGCTATTTTTCAGGCACACATTTCACGTTTGATTCCTTTGCCAAAAAAAAAAAAAAACCTAAATTAAAAAAGCACATGAAATTGTGTGAGTTTGTTTTTCTACAAGTCTGATTTTCTTGTCAAGGGAACACGTTATGTTCAGCTCTAACACTCACCTACTCACATTCTCAACTTTTCTGCGTAAATACCACTTAAGGCAGACTTTAGAGACAAATATCTGTATAGTATCTGGGTGATGTGATTTGTGGCGGGTTGATAGCTTTATAGATGTGCCTTGCTTCATGTTTTTCCTGAATTTATGCATTCTTAAGGTTTTCACTGAATTTTGGATGCCATTTCAGTCAGATTTCCCAATTGTCTCAGCCACTTCCCTTTCAACCCCTGCCCTGTATAGTCTCCAGGTTAAGCATAGGCTCATGTTGTAGTTCGTCTCTGCTGTATCCCTGAGGGCTCGAGTCCAAAAGCTCCAGAGATAAACCAGACACGTTGGGCTGAGCCAAAAAGGTGGCAGTTTGGAAACTGATTCATGAACAAATCTAGCATTTCTGTTGCAAGGGTGGCAGCCTCTATCAGAAGAGTGGAATGGGCACCTGGGGATGGTCACCACCTTTGCTATCCAGTTTGAATCCGAAATGTCAGATCAGAGCCTATGTGCACTCCTGGCACTGTTGACCTTCTAGCTTGACTGTAACTCAGTGTTAGCATGCTGTGCTGATGAATGCCCTCTTGCTGTAATATGCATGATATTTGATCTCTTAATATCCATGCTTGAATTATTCATTAGCGAAACTTAATAAATGGTAGGGGAAGAAAAATCTTGCGAGTTTCTTAGGATGCTACAAGTTTGCTTTCACACAGACTGGTCTGGCTGTGTTCTCAGACTGCTGCAAGTGGTGCATGGGTTTGATGCTGTGCGTGATGTTTCTGTCATCCCAGTATCACTTCAGGTTATGTTTTATATAACCTTATGTTTATGTTGTTGAGTGCCAGAGGAGCAGTTGAGACATGAGACTATGATCCTAGATACTCTTTTTATAGTAATAACTTGTGATGCTCTTGTGGAGGGCATAGTGCTGTAAACAGGCTTGGGGGTCTTGGTTAAGAAAGCACGTGGCTTTCTGGACCTGATCTACTTCAACAGAACTGCATTTGGTTGTCTTGGACTGGTTACAAGGCAGCTACATTGAGATTGCACTACTCAGATTTTTATTCTGGGGAAAAGCAATTTAATTCATCATACTGATTGAGTGTTCACAACCTATGAAATTCAGTATTGAACGTAATTTCAATGACACCTTAAGTCATTATGACTGATAGATGTGATACAAGTGGGTGAAGAGCCATAATTGTGTTCGTGTTGGTGGGGCTGATACCTTTATACTGGTACTCTGAGAATCTCATTGTTTAGTAGTCAAATCCATGTAAAGGTTACTGATCTTGGCTTTATTATTATTATTATTATTATTTTGCTGAGATATAAAATGCTTGTCTGAGTTGGTAAGCAGATGCACTATCTTTGAAAGCCTAATTTGTCAGGGGCTAAAACAAGCCATTGACTTATAGTTAAAGCTGTAGCTAATTTAGTTTAAATACTAAGCCAAGTGTAGAACTGCTTACAGTAGGTGTCAAGCAGGTAGCCAGCCAGGACTTTCATTGCTGCATGGGTACATGAAAAGCGTTTAACTAATTTTCATTCAGGCACGTGACGTTTGTTATCTGTCAGGTGTGAAGTTTACTCCCTTTAGTAGTTCTTTATCTTATTTGTATCACAATGTAAAATTAAGTCTGTGTAAACTTATCCTAATCTGAGCTATGAGATTCTTGTATATATTATCAGAATATTTTAATAGCTATGCTAAGCTTGTATGATTTTGCTGAATTTGCTTTAGTTTTGACCTAAGGAATATGTTTAAGGATAAAATAGTAGGTGTCCAATTAATTCTTTCTAATAAAGACGACACTTCATTAATTTGCATGATTAATAGTGATTAGTAACATCACTGATGTAGAATTACTTTTTCTGCAGAAACGGTTTTATGCTTTTTAAAGACTTCAGGAAAGAAAAAAAAAACACATGGCAGTTGTGTAGTTGATGGCACTGGAAGCGGTCGATGGAGTCAGGATATCTTATAGTGCTTAGGAGTGGGACTGAACACTCGGATAAGAAAGCAAGGCTAGGGATAGCTAGTTGCTAAGATCTTTCTGTAGTTAATGTGGTAAACAGGAACTGGTAAAGAATGCAGAAAGTGAAGTGACACAACAGTAAACCAAGAGAGCTATTTTGGCTGCTTTTAAAATGCATGTGACCAGAATGAGATTGTATGTCAGAGCCAAAGGAC